CACATATACAAAAATTTGCTCTCTATTTTACTAACTTAGTATATAAATTTTAATTATTTTTTCCCTATAATGCTAGTTTATTTGTATTTTATAAGGATGAACCTGAAACAATTTTAACAAATATAAGAGATTTATGAAAAGCACATATAAGATTCAAAATATGGAAAGAATGCGAGCAAATTCAAATTTCATTTGCTAAACAGGTAGAAATATTACTTATTTAGCATACATCACAAGAAAGTCATATTTCAGAATACTTGTTGCTATCCATCTGAAGCCAAAAAGAAATTGTGCTTTAAATAAGGGTGCTTTCAAATAAGTGTAATTTTATATCTAGAAAGAAATCTTTCATATACAGTACCTAAATATTTCTAGCATAGAGTTTAAATCATAAGAAATTGTTCGAGTTCAGAACATAAGAAATTGTTACTCAAGCAGTATAGAAAAATCTGAATAAGTTCAAAAACTGCCTATAATTTAGGTTGCCAGTTAATAAAATTCTTTTCATCATATATGACAGCAGTATGGTGATGGATAAACCATCTGATTTATGTTTAATGAGAAAGTTGAATTTTGTAAACTTTCACTTTAAATTTTGTATTTGAGATGGAATCAAAAAAAATTTTGGAACTGAATTTGTTTCCTTGCCGCATTTGAAATTCAAAGCATTAATATTTTTTATATCTGGGTACTGTTTAAATGTGTCTAAACATAAGAATTATATTCCAATATACACCTCCAGACCTTTTCTGTTGGGAAAAAATTCTTTAAATTGCGATTTTTTTATTAAGCTAAGAGGAGTGATGTAAAAGAATAATAAATTTTTTATAAATTCTGAGTAACAAGTAAATTTGGGGGGGGGGAACCCTAAAACCTGATTAAATCAAGCTTTTGGGAATAATTTTAAGTGAAATATTTTTGAGTGATACACATATTTCAAAGATGGCAAAGCTTCAACAGATAATGCCAATAAAGGATACCCATCAAGAACAGATGTTAAATTACGAGGAAATTGCTAATCTTATAAAAGATAAAACAAAGAATAACTTTAAGAGAGATACCAGATGAAAAGTGTGGAGGAAGTGGCTTAAAATGTGGAAAATACAACAATGGATGCTTCATCGTAATAATGTGCAATTACATACTGCTATTACAGTACAGCAATTCTTTGCTTGTAATGAACTGGCAACTGTTCTGCAACTGCCCATTATTCACCAGACATTTTACTTTTTCCAGAATATGGATTTGGGAAAAAATATGGCAATGTTACAAATGCAGAAGGATCTTATTTTGAAGGCTGTATAAATTTATTTTCATTCAAATAGAAATTCTCTGGAAATTTTTGATTATATCCTGTATTATTCTACCCATTTAATTGTTACCCATAAAAATTTAATACCATAAATTCTGAACATTATCACTTCCTCGAATATTTATTTTCACAGCTTCTTCTGCATCAAGAAGGCTCAAAATAGAACAAACAAGCAAACAACAACAGCAGAAAGAAAAAAAAAGGGGGGGGGAGCTAGTAACTTATATTTATTTTGATACATAATTCTACAAAAAAAAAAAAAAAAAATAGAACACATAAAATCTATAGATGTAAAATCTGGATTAATTGACCATCAGATATGAAATTTTTAAGGTATGTTAAAGACAGCCCATTGCCAGCACTGGGACAAACGACCAATGCTTCGCACTTCAGCTTCTGACGTTAGTCACCGGACTGCTATAGTCTTCAACTTTTGACAAGTTTCATTGAGAACAAGGAATTCTGTCTTATTGATCGTGATATTCACACAAACTTTTAAAGATTAGTTTTTACTCATATTTAATAAGCAATGATTATTTTTATTTACATATTTAAAGTATAATGTTATTTTAGTTTTTCATATTCATCTCTGGGATATTAACATTTCAAATTATAATGAAACAAAATTTAAGAAAAAACAAATATCTATACAAAGATTTTTAATGAAAAGGAAATCATTGATGAGTTAATTATTCTAAAACTTACTTCTCATTTTCCCTTCTTCCACAACTGAAGCTGTTAATGTTTCTACAGCATCAGAAGCACAATCTTCTTGTTAAATCTTAAAATTCAACTATGAAAGTATTTCTTTCATAAAATAAAACCATGAAATTTATTACTACACAATATATTTTGCTTTCCTCCTTCAATGGCGCATGTTCATAATTTGTGCACTTCAGACTGAAGGGATAAAGATGTATATCTCCAGTTACATTATTTGTTAAGAAACCCACTTATACACACCATACATTGCTTTGGCTGTAATAAGACATTTTCATAATCACTGTTGAGCAAGTCATCATTATGAAAAAGATATACACTTTACAACAATAAATAAAATAAAAAAATTAACAACAAACTAACTAATGATAATGCATACTATTAAAAAATAAAATCCTGCGTTTTTTTTAAGTTATATTATATATATATATATATATATATATAATATATATCACTTTTTTTTTTTTAGAAATAGTTGAAAATTTAAACTTATCTATCACCATTAGTTGCACTTAGAATTAAAAATGTAATTATTATCTTTTACAAAATGCTACTACCAATAAAATTGGATTTGCTTACAAATAGATAATACAATCTGTCTGGCTTCTTGCTACTTGTCAGTTATAATACTAGTATATACAAATACTGTAATAATTAAAATAAAAAGATAATTAGTATATATACTGAATTTTCCAAAATAAAGGGAGGGTGTCCTATACTATTCATATAAAAATTTTTCTGAATTTTTTTTTTAAATTGCATGGAGGGACTTAAAGAAAGTGAAAATTAAATATTAAAAAAATAAAATTGACAAATGAAAATATTTTAAAATGTAAACATTTTTAATAAATTGCACGTAAATATATACAGATGCTACCCACATTACGAATTTTTATAGATACGAACAAACCTGTTCTCAAAGAGTGAAATTTGCCTGTAATCAAAACGAAAATAATATAACATCACAGCAGTTTTGGGAAGACTATAACATTTAATAATCATGTACTAAACATCCATATGTATGGGGAAATGCGACAGGTGTTTGGTAAAAAGTATTTACCCCTATCTTGTTCATGACAATCCCAGATCTTTGGAAAAAAATTCTAAGAGGTTTGTTAAAGTCTGCTATGCATGATGTTAAATGTTTATCATTTTATTGATAATGAAAGAAAAAGAAAACATATTCAGACAAGTTTAGACACTTTAAAAATTAGTGTTGCTGGTCCATATAACATGCCAACTCCTTCAACTTCTCACAGAGCCTTCTCATCACAAATGTCCCCTTTACTCATTGATGAGTCTCCAGAGAGAGAATCAGGCCCCATTCACACACGTCTCAAACACGAGAATCCAAGGTATGTACTGTAAGAAATTCTTCAAATAACTATAATTTTTATTAATAATGTACTGTATTTAATATGTGATATCTATTCATTTTAGCATTTTTTATCATTTATTTGATATTATTTACAATTTGTTTTGTTAAGAGACACATGTAGCTAACCTAGTAACATTTCATTAGCAAATTTATTATACAAATGGGCGTTCGGAATGCAACTCATTCGCAAAATGGAGAACATCTGTACTCTTAAATTCTGTAACTCAAATTTCAGTATTTTACAATGCAAATTTCACAATTATACAAATTAAAAGGAAAAAAAAAAGATAACTCTATTTATAAAAAAAAATAGTAAAACCTGACATTATGCACTATCCATGGCTAAATATTTACTATGCATTTTAACATAAAATGCACTATGTATATATATATTATATTATATGATTACTTAAAAAAACACATTTAATACCAAATATTGTTTAATGCAAACAATTAAAATAAACCCTTCAGAAGGAACACTAGTTTATAAAAACAGATAACTGAAGAGCAAACAGTTGCAGAGTTTTCAAATTTATGAAGTTTATAACACCAATTCTTTCATACTTTTTAAAAATTACAACAGTAAATAAAATATGTTTCTAATGAAAGTTATGCATTACACATAACCTGACACAATGAACTTTTCTTTTAAAGGAAATACATTAAAAAAATGTACATGATTCAAAGAGATGATACAGGCAGAAACTGGCAATGAAAAAGCCAAAATACAGAAATGATAAAATATTCTCTGCAATTAGCATTCACAAATTCTAAATTCATAATTATAAAAACATACACATAAGAAATCAAAATGCATATGAATAAAAAAAGTATTTAAATAAGCAAGAGAACAATAATACCAGTTAGGAAAGTTGTATCATTATACATCACACACTATGCAATTTAGTGCCACTCAAGAACTCTTACCTGAATTGATATAAAAAAAGGATATAAATAAATTATTTTGTTTTTAACAGCAAATTTTCAGGAAATCATAACATTAAAAATAAATACAGAAGGACTCTCATTAAACTTCTATCACATCTTGGCACAATACTTTCTTTATTTTCTTGCATCAAAGTGCTAAGGCAAGATTTTATTATAACATTTGATTAACCACCAACTAAATAATTGAGCATTTTTTACAAATCTTTTGCATATGTTCCAAATAAATGTTAGTTTCCCTCAGATCTTGATAAGTAGCTTACAAAACTTGTCTAAACAAATGACACTATAAAATGAATTATGTATTGCATAGCTGTAAGTTTATACTTTTGGAAGAAAATTTCATTTTCAGTAAACAGAATAAACAAGTTAAAACAGTCCAACACCGAATGATTACAACTGTCACTCATAGTATAACTGATTAACAATTATCTTTATGTACAAAAATTACTTTAAAAATTGAAAGCATTTGGGAAAGAACAAAATGCCAAAAACTAACTCGAAATATGTACAACACTTCTGAATGTGATGAAATATTTCTTTTTTTTTTTTTTTTTTTTTTTTTTTTTTTTTTTTTGTTTTTTTTTTTTTTTTTTTTTTTTTTTTTTTTTTTTTTTTTTTTTTTTTTTTTTTTTTTTTTTTTGTTTTTTTTTTCCAAAGTTGCAGCTAACAGTATGCAACCCCCCCAAATATCGTTGAAATTATTGAAACTTTTCCTTACCAATCATCTGTCTACAGCTTGGCAATCAGCAAATCTGCTGAGTTTTAAAATGGAGAAAACTGTCCATATAAATTATATTAATTTTTAATAATAATTTTAAATCATGCCATATAGATAAAAACGTTTATGTTTTCTTCATCTCGCTTCATGTACTTGTGCTCAATGAGCCATTCTATCTGTTCTTTAATCATTTTTTTGGATGGCAAAAACATGTTCTTCAAAATTTCTACCAATTCAGTCTGTAACTGAGCATTTGTTATTCGTTTTCTCATCTTCATTATTTTCACTATTGCTTCCTATAAAAGAAGGCAAAAGATTGAGATGATCATTATGTCAGTCAATTTGAGGAAAAAATATAACATAATTTCAGTAACATATAAGAACATGATGAATCTCTCTTTGTGATATGTGAGAGATAAAAATTTCTAAATTTCAGTAATATTCTCCTTCCTCTCAAAGAGGGGGAGGAACCCAACTATTGCATATTTTTGTGAAAACATGATAAATCTCTCTATGTAATATGCCAGATATAAAAATTATTCTTCAACAATATCCCTCTCTCACCAAAACATTTAATCAACAAACCATTTAACAGATAGATGCTATGATTTAGATGAGAATATACATAACTACTTTAAACATTTGAACATGGATAGTTCAAAATATTATCCCCCAAAAGTACCTCTTAGACATGGTTATATGCAGAGATGCCAACCTTGAAATCTTAAAAGCTGGGAAAACTTTGCAAGAAAACTGCAAGGTTTTCATGCTGCACAGCGACACTGTTTCAAAGAAACTCCAAACTGGCTTTAATTCACTTTATAATACATGAGTCAGATTACTGAATTATCTGTAAATTAATTCTAATATAAAATATATTAGCACTAATTCAGGAATTCTTAACTTGGGGGGATTTCATAGTTTCAGGGGTTGGGGAAAGTGGTCAGTCTTTTATTTAGCAGTTAAATATTTAGTTTTAGTTTATGAATCTAAAACATTACTTTTATTCAAGTTTCAGTATTCATGAACATTTTTTACACTTTTTTTTTTTTTTTTGTTTAACTTAAAAACACAATAAAAGATAATCGAAATTTAAATACATGTATGCATGTATTTTTTTAGTTTTGGAAAGGAGCTAGTAATGGTGAAAGGGGTATACGGGGCAAAACAGGTAGAGAGCCACTGATTTAATTAGATATTCTTAATTTCATATTCTTTGGCAAATTTCATTTTTTAATTTTCTTACACTTTTATGCCAAGAAAATCCTGAGTAGTGAGGCAAAGCTTTTATTTATCAAAGTATTTCTAAGCACAATGAAAATCAAATAAATAACTAATGTATATAGCACACATAAGCCAAACTGCTACTTGCGATTCTTTGTCCTCTGAAATGCGACTTGTTTTGAATAAATATAGTTTAATTTTTTAATTCAAATGGAATTTGAAATAGGAGTCATGCATTGCCACATTTCTTTATTAATCGCTAATATAATTTCTGATATTATGTATGTAAAAATGTGACAGCTTTACTGCCCGCTGCTGGTTTATGGTCAGAGCAACAAATACTTAAAATTACAAATAATTCCTATTCCGGTTATGTTACTTTATGAACAGGTAATGGTCATTGGAATGCACTATTACGAAATTAATCTAAAACGCAATACTAATATATTTATTTAATTATTCTCCCTAATATTTTTTCTCTCAAGTTGATTTTACTTTAGGTAGTATCTGCTTGCCATTGTTCACAATAGTTGTCATCCATCTGGAAGATTGCTATTCATTGTAAGGTACTACTTTTATTCAGTCCTTGAATGGTGTGAGTAACTGTTGAAGAAACCTGTTTCGCTTTGCAATTCATATAGAGCTCGTTTAATCCATGGAAGAATTTTACTATGATTTTATTTTTGGTGCAGTGAGCCTTCAGCATATATTTGGTTGGAAGACCTGTCTCAATTTTCTGCAGATCTCCTTCAAAATTAACATCATATCCCTAAACAAGTTAGGCATTTTTATGCAGTTGCTTCACAGATTTCACAACCATTCACAATAATATGCTTAATGAACACTTTTCCCACATGAAACTCTATCTTTCATAATAATTTCTTGGTAATTCTAGGTAGATGTCATAATTTCTTTCACCAATGGTTGTGTATGCTGAAATATTTGGAGTCGTGGAAAGAATCACTGGTTTGACAACGATTTAAATTTGAATCAAAATGGCTTATTTTAACAAATATTGTTATTCCTAATAGAGCTCTTTAAGCCTAATCATCAAATTTTCATAACAGTGCATCAAGGAATGAGGGATCAACAGAAGACAAACATCTCTCTTCCCCAAAGTTTCTGTCAAAATCAACATATTGATATTGGTGAAATCTCTTTAGCTTGTGACATTTTCTCACATTTTTCAATTTCTTGTTTGAAGACCTTCTTTCTTTCTACCTCGCACTAAGTTAGAGGCATTTTGCTGCTCAACACATATCTAAACTTTTTCACCCCTTAGTACTGCTGTCTGCAGCTGTAGCGGTGCGTTGTGGCTCTTATGCTAGCATTATCTTCTTTTAATCTGTTGATATTTTTTGTCTTCCTAATTTTGGATCATCATGTATGTCTGACATGTCCTTCATGAAAGCTTAGTAGCCAAATGAAAAGTTGAACAACAATCCACTGCTTGATTACTACAAATTTCAAACAATAATATGAAATTTTGCATTTTTGAAATCTGATCTTTTGATTTCTAAAGTATTCTCTGGCTACAGACTCCATTTCAGATTTATTTTCCGTACACAGGTTAGATAAACCAATGGAAAGTTATACTATGTAACCGTTAGACTGATAATAATTTATTTTAAACTTTCTTCCCAGTTATTTTACTTAGAAATTCAAGACGAGACAGTAAGTCATTTGACATCCTTTATGGGTCCAACAGTTAGAACGTGGTGGATCTGTACATTTATTTGGCAAGCACTTTGGAACTAATGTGCAGATGTTTGCCATGTTACAAAAGGCTTCCACATCGAACATCTGTGCATGCTTGTAGAAATATGAAGAGTTATGCATTCATGTTATATCTGCATTTGCAAAATAAATTCCTTATAGTGTTGTGTTTCTACGGGTTCATGGATTTGGAGTGATTGAAGACAACATTTGATGAAGTATCAAGACACAACTTATTTGCCAGTATTACTCAGGACAGTGCCAAAAACGAGCTTACAGTCATCGAAAAACTATGATAAGCATGCTGAAACAATCAGCAACACAGCCTTCAGGCTACAACGGTGAAGACAGTTTCACAACAGAACGCTAAATACAGCTCCTGACTCGGTCCATTGCTCTCGGAGCTGAACACACTCAAGATACTCTGTATGATAAGACTCCTGATTCACTTGACGATGTGCTAAGATATATTGCTACTCTGCATACGAGAAGCGTTTATATAGCTTTTGGTCTGCTGTTAAGAATATTCTGGGCCAAACTGGTTATGAATTCATTCTAGAATGTTCTCCATCCATCTATGGCATATTGCCAATTTTGTTGCTAAATGTAGCCAAACAGGCAATTTGGCAACCCTGCCTTGCGGGGAAGCTATCTTACTACGGTTGGGCATTTTGTAACAGTAGTAATGACATTTTGTAACAGTAGTTTTTTTCTGTAACATTAGTTTTGATTTCCCATGTACTTGAAAAACAGCTCAAAATTAAACAACTAGGTTGAAGAGTTCGCCTGCTAGGCAGACGGAATATGTGCTCGACATAACATTTATGTAGCCCGGCATGAATGACTACATTTATTAGCAATAGGTTATATATGCCAGAATCATTCTAACGATTCATGACGGGCTTTCGAGAATTTTCAATGTTGCGCATGAACTTTATTATCTATGTTCAAAATTACCGGTATGATTCGGGAGATAGTTTCGATAATTTTCAATGATGCACAGTGCACTGATTACTAAAAAATTCTTGCAGATTCTGTTGGATGTTATGCTGAAATACTGTAACAGTCAGGGCTGTCATGAGAGATATTAATTATTCAAACACCAATAAAAATGCAATCTCTCTCTCTTTTTTTTTTTAAAGTTTTGGATAAAAATGTTTATCTGTTTCTTAGGTTAGGATCCAAAGACTCGAATGATCTCAGTTTGTTGGTCCTTATATTAATCGTATGCAGATATAAATTTACTTTTAAACAAAAGCCTAAACAAGTTAGTAGCTTATTTCTAAATAAATATTCTCTCTCAAATAACAGTTTCTCTGCAGTGCGCACTGACGTGTATCATTTAATTTATCCTTTCTAAAAGTACTGCTCATGAATTAACACTCAATTTTCTTTTAAATAATGATTTGTAATTTACTCATAACATTTTTTTTTTTATGTAATTGTGCAATGAATATGTTTCTGATTCATTTTACTTCTACTAAAATAAAACGATAATAATTATAAATGGACAGGTATAAAAAGGAATCAGAAGAAAATATTTGGTTTCTCTACATGAAGAAAAAATGCTAATTGCCTTTGCAAACACAAAACAGTAGAAATAAACTGTATTTATTCATATTTGTATGTAATCATGTTAATCCCATATTCATTAATTTACTTTAAAAGTTTCTTTATATTAAAAACAGTCTCTTTATTTTAAAAACGATATGAATTTGGATTTGCAGCTCTTGAATGTTCATAAAATCAATCATGTGGTTCCCACCGTCTTGAAGTTTGGCCATTCTTGGTACAGTCAAAAGTCGTTAATCCGGACTCGTCGGGACTTCGGCGATTCCGGATTATAGATCATCAGTTGAAATCTGGTAAGATGGCATGCAGAAATTATAAAACTAAAAATATGAAACCGTAATTTATGAAATAAAGAACAATTATGATCTAAAGGGTATCAAAATTTACAAAAAAAAAAAGCTTAATATTTATTTTGTTTACTTTATTAAACATTTCTTTTAATGTAAGTTGTTTAAGTTGCTTCAGTTTTTTATGTGATAATACTTTCTCTTTAATTCTATAAACAGACATAATTTCTTGTTCAGTTATAAAAAGTTCCACTGTTCAAGTCCTGTAATTGCTGTGTCGAGAATACCGACTAATTTGTCAATCGAAATTTTTTTTCGTTTTCAATAAACTCTCTGTCACTTTCTTCACTATCGGAAGCGAATTATAATACGAGGAATTGATTTAAATCATATGAAAGACGGAGTACATCGAGATGAAATACTACATTTAATAAGGAATTATAAGCCAAATAAAATAAAAACATCTGCCCTAAAGATAAGGATAGTGCTGACAGATC